CCCCGGCCAGCGCGCCCCCGGCCAGCGCGCCCCCGGCCGGCCCAGCAGCACCCTGGGGACGTCTCTGCACCCTGGGACATGCGTCTGTCCTTCCCAGCCGGAGGAGCCTGCTGAGTGCCAGTTGTCACCCCCGCCTCCAGCAGTCAGCAGAGCTGGGGTGGGGGGAGGCGGGCCGAGGGTTCCCTGCGTGTGCGCGCCGTGTCCCTTGTCGCACTGGACACTGTGAGGCCCGAGCCGAAGCGGCTCTTTCTGTTGCTTCAGCTGCTTTTTCCTCGCGGTCCTTTATTTCCTTGTAAGTTTATGTAGTTTTGACTGAATTTGCTCCTCCATAATTTTCTGTGGGGCGGTTCATGGAGGGCTGAGATGAAAGGCTGTACCGAGATGACCCCTGGCTTGTAAACGCCGGAAGTGCTCCCCTCCACGGAAGGTCGGAACTGAAGCAGTAGCGGGATGGCTTCTCTGTGTTTTTACAGTGTGATTTAGTGAGAGCTGATTTGTGATTTCATATTCTTAATGCCATTTTCAAAGATGCAAATTTCCATCCTATTGTTTTCGGAAAAAAAAAAAAAACCACATAAGTCACAGGCATCGGGTTACGGAGAGGTAGCGTCTGCAGTAGTCGTGACATTTTGGGTTGAGACTGACCGCCAGCCTCTCGCCATGCATGGTACGTCTTGGTCAGGACACTCCTCCCAGGCTCGGATGCTGCCGGCTGTTTCTGGAGGGCCAGTGGGATGGTGTGCATTTCGGGAACCCAGTATTCAACGCTGTCTCACATCGCAAAAGAATATCCCTGCAAAAATGGATTTAAAAACCCTTTTCACTACATACATAATGAAAAGTATTTATTTTTTCCACTCAAAATTTCCTTGTAAAATTGGCATATGTTTTGTGTATTAACAAATAAGGGGGATCAGCAGATGGTGTAATGGTTGTTCCCATGTAGTCAACTGCTTCGAGTCTTGGACCTGGTGCCTTGAAACTCATGCTGGGCACGTGTGCCCGAGATCCCCAGAGAATGGAGGAGGAGGGACTGTGGTGTGGCCATCCCCCCAGGAGGTGATTTTTCATTGTTTCTCTCTCCCTCTGGTGAGTGCACATGCCCTATAGAAATAAATCTCTCTAAAACAAACACAGAGAATGAGGAAGGAAACTCATTAAAAAAAGTTGTCCGAGGGAGTGTGTGCTTGTCAGAGAGAGAGACAGAGGAGGGGAGAGAGGGGGAGAAAGCCCCCGCTAGGGCGTTTTCGGGCTGCAGCTCTTCCCTTCCATTGCTCCGCCCGTCAGGATGCTGGGCATGCACATACACGTGCCTGGGGTGTTCTTCACGCTGCCAGGCTGAGAGTCCCGGTTCACCGCGTGGTCTGCCTTGGAGTCCGGCTCCCTTAGCCACCAGGCCACAGGAGGGGGACTTGTAAAGCACTTACCATCAGGCCTGAAACATGCCCCGAAGATCTTATTCTCACCTGTTTTCTGTGGGCCTAGCATTTTCTAATAGACCATTATGCCTTTAATTGTGAAGAAAGAGTCTCATCGTTTATTGAAAGTGTTTGAATATGTGGCAAAAATAGAAAAGCTGTGCAGTGTTTCCCTTCGTGATTTTGTTTGTTTGAGAGCGATTTTTGCTATAGGACATGTGTGCTCGCCAGAGAGATAGAGAGACAGAAAGCCAGAAATCACCCCGCGGGGAGATGGCCATGTTGCAGTCCCTCCTCCATTCTGCTGGGATTTTGGGCAGCATGCACACGCACCCAGTGTGAGTTCAAGCCTCCAGTCTGAGACTGCAGCCGCAGTCACCCACATGGTAGTCCAGCGCCTTAACTGCTATGCCCCTGCGGTCCCCTTCATGGTGTTCTCACCGCTGGGATTATTTGCAGCAGGAGGGAACATGAGCCATGGATCAGGGAGGGCAGGCAGGGTTCTGTGTAACCAACAGCTTGGTCACGTTCATCATCCATGGGCCCGAAACAGATGGGGAATATTTGCATGTGAAGTTCCACATGGAGAGGATTTGGGTTCCATTTTTTTTTACTACTTTTTCAGGTCAATGAAGTATGAAATCGGAATCTAGACTTTGTTGAACAAAGTTTTAAGGACTGTGCCGGCTGGATTTCCACTGGTGTCAGTAAGCTGGCACTCGCTGGGAATTATACTCTGTGATTGCGGAGCCACTGAACAGTTAGAATTAATTTCACCTGAAAATACCATCCTAATTGTGCCACCTGCAAATGAACTTCGCGGTGCAGCCTGACGTGCTAACGGTCCCTCAGCTCGTGTCATGATGAAGGCGAGGCAGCCCCCTGCAAAGACAAACACTACCCAGTCGAGACAATATCCGGTCATGACTCGCAGGGTTGCTGCATTTTCTGTATCCGTTAATACGAGATGGAGAGCATGATCCCCAGGATCCTTTTCTCTATTACCAAAAGGTTATAGGTTAATAATTTAAAAAAAAATTGTTTATTTAATTTGATTTATTCATTCGGTCATTTTCATTTGACCAGAGAAAGACAAACACACAGAGAAAAGGAAAGTAAGAAAGCAAGCCACCAGGTCCGAGACTTGAACTGTGGTCGGCCATGTGGGAGTGTCCAGTGCCTTAACCTCCATGCCACCTGCTGACCCAGGTTAATAATTTAGAAAAAAAATCCCAGAAAGCTTAGACTTTATTATTTCTCTTGTGAAGAAAGCCAATTTTACAATGAATTTACACCAGGGCACTGTGTGTGTGTGTGTGTGTGTGAAGGACTCCGAAGGATTTGCATTGTGGGAGTTGGTCAGTAGTGTGGTGGTTAAGGTGGGCCCTTCACGGCCTACTGTGGGCTCTGAGTCCCAGACCCTGTGGCTTGGAAGATGCTGGGCACGTGTGTGCGCATGTCCAAATCCGGAGAGAAGAACGGAGGAGGGATTGTGTTGTAGCCATCCTCCCTGGGGGTGCTCGGTCTCCCTCTGTGGCCTATAGCACAATTAGAAAAAAGAAAGAAAGAAAGAAAAGAAAGGAATTTGAGTTACAGTAGGAACGTGGCCCTGTCCACCTGAAGGGGCTGCCGTTGAGCTGGAAATGCAGAGCCCGAGTCTCACGTCCGGCTCTGGGCGCTGCAACTCTGTAGTCTCCTGTGGCCACTCTGTCCTGACTGGAGGGTGGAGAAGGAGGGAGGTGAGCGGAGAGACAGCTGGGATGCGGCAAGAGGGGTGCGGGTTTGGAGACAAGCCCTGGGGGCTGAGCCTGGCTTTTCTGCCTGGGTAATATTTAGCAAATGAAATAACTTGGTTTCCTCCTCAGGGCAGTGGGGCTGGCCAGTGTCTACCCCATAGACCGTGTGAGTGTGTGGAAGCCGTGTTGAGAAACGTCAGCCTTGGTTCCAGCGTGCGGCTCTCTCTTTCATTCTCAGCAGTAGCAGGGAGGAGCGATGACACTGCCTAGTCTCCACTTCAAATACTGCCGTCCCTTTTCTTCTCTCCATCCTGGGTGCGGGGGAGTGGGACATGCAGCTGCTGGGGTCAGGATTCGAACAGCAGTGGCTATGTGATCCAGCTTCCCTAACCACTGTGCTAAGGAGCTGGCCCTTGCTAGGAATTTTTTTTTTTTTTTGGTATAAAGTGCATGTCCCAGAAAGAGAGAGAGAGAGAGAGAGAGAGAGAGAGAGAGAGAGAGAGAAAGTGCGGGTACTCCCAGGGAGGTTGGCCACACTGCAATCCCTTCTCCATTCTCCTCTCAGGATTTTGGGCACCTACGAACACATCCCTGGGGTGCTTTCACAAGCCATTGGACTGGGATTGGAACTGCACACCATGCCACTGGCCGGCCCGCTAGGATCTCTTTATGCCTTCATTTTTCTGTATGCATTTAAGTATGCATGTATGTATGTATTTTTGTACTCGCTGGAGAGAGACAGAGAGAAAGAGTGAGAATTCATGCCCTGGGGGGATGGCTATGCTGTAGTCCTTTCTTCTCCAGTCTTCTCTTGGGATTTTGGGCGCACACACACACACACACACACACACACGCGCGCACACACGCGCACACACACGCCCAGAGTTATTTTCAAGCCACTGGGCCCAGGACTCCTACCATTTCGGCCAGATGGGAGTCCAGCGCCTTAGTCACCATGCCACTTGCTGGCCCTTCTGTATTTATTTTTACTTTTTGTTTCAATTTGATCATAGTTGGTCATCTCATCATTGAACTGCGGTGGGCCTTATGGGAGTCCAGCGCCTCAACCATCATGCCCTTCTACTGGTCCCACATATTTGTATTTTCTTTAAAAACCAGGAAGAACCTTTATCAGATCTAAACTTTAAGGTATTATTTATTGTCCTTGAAAACATTTTATTTTTGAGAAATATGGACGGCTCTCCCAAAGTCCCCAGGGTCATATGTTGTGTTAGTGGGACTCGGAAAACTTTGTCCTGCTGTCTTCAGCGTGCAGTTTTGGCATGGTGGAAGCCATGGTGCAGCCCGGGAGGCAGGAGGAATGCTGGAGGGGTCTGGGCTTCTGCTCTCAGGTGGAACCCGTGAGCTCACAGCTCTGACCGTCCGTGCCCTGGTTAAAAAAGGCTATTGAATTAGGTGACTCCCAAGGTTGCTTGTAAGGTTTAATAAAACCGCATTTTATGCTTCCCCTGTGTTATGGCGGGTTCCACTGGGCTACACTGCTGCTGCCCAGAGCGAGTCCTGCCCGTGAGCTCCGCTTCTGAGCCTGTGTGGGTCCCAGCGTGGGGAGGCCAGGCCTGGTTCCACTGCTGTGGGACTGTGTTAATGCTCACAAGGACAATCCCTGAAGAGGCTCGAACTTCTTATCTGCGTAGGTACCTTCGAGTCACGGTTTCTTCTTTCTCTTTTGCAGTTATATTCACATAGTCCCCAGAAAACCTGCGAAGATGAGGAAGTTGAAGGAAGTAAGTGTTCAATGCGGTCTCCTCAGGTCGGTGTGCACTGGGGAATTTGACAGCAATGCAAATGTCAGTGTTGCATACTTGGCGTTTTACAGGAACAGCATTTAGTAGGGGACGCCTGTGAAAGCATGCTGCCTTTTTTCTCTGTTTACATACTCTCGCCCACTGTACATCTCATTTGTACAGCGTACAAAGTGAGATTTTCCATCCAGAATACTTTGTATATTGGCTCAATCAAGGGTATTATCAAACATGTTATCATCAACAAATAATTTTTTTATTTCTTGTTTTTTTTTTTTAATGTATTTTGCTCCCCCCGATTCCCAACCTCTCACCCTCTGCCAATTTACCCCCTTCTCCCACACTGTCTCTGGTATGTATAGCTGTTTTCCATGCCTTTTTTATTTTTTTTTTTTACATTTTATTGATTCACTAAAGATCTTCTTCATTAATTTGAAAACTTTCTATAGCAAGCACAGCTGATATATACATATCTATGAAGGCACGTCTAACTTTAGGCGTAACCCTCAGTGAGTAAAGTGAATGTACTATAAAGTAGCACCTCTCTGAGGCTACATAGCTTACTGCAGTCATTAAATAGGTATTAAGTTATTTTTAATGCATTTTTTATTTCAAGAAAGACAATTTTAGCTTTAATAGATCAGAATCAAAAATTGTTAAGAGAAATTTGTTTAAAACGTAAAACCAGGAGAAAGGTTGGGATTCAGTTCAAATATTAGATAGATGAACCTATCAGCAGTTCAAGAGAAGACAGAAATCCTTAAACATGGAAATCAAAGCATCAAAGAAAGTCAGTAATGTTTTAGTCTAAAGTCAAAAAAACCCTTCTATTTCACTAATTGAGACTCATGTAATTAATCTCTCTTCTATTGAAAGTGCAGTGTTACTGTGGTCTGATCTTTCCATTTAAACTCTGGTCGTTAGCATTCAACTCCAATCTTGTCCCTCCCATCAGGCCGGCCATTCTCTTGGCTGTTTTTTGTACTCTATTTCTGTGTGTCCGACTTTAGTTTTGCTGGTACAGCACTCACTCCCTTCAGCACTTCTTGGAGAGCTGGCCTTATGTTGGTAAATTCTTTCAGGTTTTGTTTATATGAAAATATTTTTGTCTTTTTTTTCCCATATGAAGGATAATCTTTCTGTTTATACTATTTTTGGTTGAAATTGCTTTTCACTCAACACTTTGAATATATTTCCCCATTCTTCCTTTGCTCACATCGTTTCCGATGACAGGTCCGACGTTAGCCTTATAAAATATTTTTTGAAAGTAACCTGATGTTTCTCTCTTGCCAGTTTTAGTATCCTGTCTCTGTCTGTGGTTTTGGTCAATCTGGCTATGGTGTGCCTTGGGAAGGTCTTCTTGGGTTGATTCTATGTGGGGTTCTTTGTATTTCTTGGGTCTGGATATTTGAATGCCTCTCTAGGTTTGGAAAGTTTTTTCCAGGATTTCATGGAATAGATTATCAATGCTTTTACTAGTTTCTTCACCTTTGGGGATACCAATAATCTGGATGTTTGGGCATCTAGTGGTATCTAGTATTACTCGTATGTTATTCTCATTTTTGGGGGGTTTATTTTCTCAGCCTTTTTGGTGAATTTTTCTAGGTCAGAGGTTCTATCTTCTACATCTGAGATTCTATCTTCTGCATGATCTAATCTGCTTTTGATATTTTTAAGGGAGGTTTTGATTTCCTGAATTACAGCCTTCATCTCTAACAATTCCATCTGATTCTTTTTTATGATATGTACCTCCTCTTTCAGATCGTGCAAGAACTTCCTCACCTCCTGGAACTCGGTGTCTCTTCTCCTGCATCTTCTGGAGTTCGCTGTCTCTCTTCTCTTGCATCTCTGTTAGCTTTGTCACTATGCGTATTTTAAATTCTTTATCAGATATGTTCACGAGTTCCCTTGCATCGTCTGTGGAGGATGAGGAGTTACTCTTTTCCCTTAGAGGAGAGATGTTTTCCTGTTTTCTCCTATTTCTTGTGCCTCTGTGTTGGTTTCTGGCCATCTGATAGATTACACATTTTTCCCCTAGTTTTTGGAATTAGATCTGAGTATTCAGAGGCATGCAGGAGGAGGTGACCTGCGATTTCTAAACAGTACCGTTTTTCTCCCTTTGCACAGCTGATTCGATGGAAATTGAGGATCAATCTGACCCTAAAAGCATTCAGATGTTTGGCTACTGAGCACCTAGGCCTGTCTAGAAACCTAGCGTGTGGAGGCTGAGCAGAAAGTGAGACAGAAGAGGAAAAGGAAAAGGAATAGAAACAACAAAAAAGAGAAAAAAACAATTAAAAAAAACAAAGAAAAAAAAATGGCACCGCACAAATGGGGCCCCTTAGAAGTCGTAGATAGCTGGCTGCTGACTGGCTTGTCCTGGCTCCTGGCTGGATCTGCGGGGAGGAGGGTGAAGTCTGGGCAGAGGGTTTTAGCTGGTCATAATCCACGAATGGGTCTGCTCAGAGCTCAGTTGTAGCTGGCGGCTGATTGGCTTGTCCTGGCTCTTGGCTGGGTCTAAGGCATGCCACTCTCGAAGCCAGAGTCGCTGCACAAGCTTGTCATTCTTCTCAGGGATTTCCGTGACCGAGTGGTAGCAGTTAGTAAAACAGCCTAAGACCATGCTGGGGAGCCGTCTCGGGGGGATAGTCATGCAATTACTTATGAAGATGTCTAACTTTCTTTTTGTTTTGGGGGGATTTGGGAAGACAGGTGTCAGGAAGAGTTATCTGAAGTTATGAATGTTGGAACTAATTATAATGTTAACGACTTGCCCCCAGTTCTCATCATTTCTGTCCTCGATAGACATTTATGAGGTCTAGGGGCTGGAACGTGCCCTTGTTCCATTCATGTTATCTGACTCTTGGCAAAATCATCCACTTAACTTGTTAAAAGAGACCCACCTTTTTTATAAGCAACAAAAATCACAAGATTCTAAGCAAGATATCCTGTTAGTATTTAGAATTTCACACATTTTTTACTTTTTTTTTTTTTTTTTAAATGAGCTTCCTTTCTGGAGTATTACAGAAGCGAGGTGTCCCGAGGGCATGCACTTCTCCGAGCTGCAGTCAGTGGTCCAGCTGCTGCTCTTCAGTCCCCTCTGTGGGCACCACCTTCATGGACTAAAGGGTGGATGGTAACTGTGCTGCACCGGCGCACGGGCTGGCATGCGTCCTCCGCATCTCACGGGGGCTGGCCCTCCGCGTCCTGCAGTCCCCACCCAGAGCGCCAGCAGGGGAGTCGATCCAGCGTTGCTCAGAAGCAGCAGCCTGTGGAAGCCCTGAGCTGCTCCACAGAGTGTGGGCTGTGGAAGGAAGCCGATGATGACCTGCCCACTTCAGATAGTAACTTCCAGAGGGACTGCATGCTTCCGTCTGGAAAGCAACACTGGCATTTGTCGGGTTCCAGGGCCCCCTAGCGTGGAGAGTGTACCTGGGCGCCTGCTGACCCCTCTCCGCATGAGCCTGGGGGTGGGATCAGCCAACTCAGGAGATGATCTCTGGGGTGTCCGTCAGTTGGAGTCTGTCCCTTGTCTGCACAGCTCAGTGGTTTAAATGCAATGCGAGGAAGGCTAGCGTGCCAGAATGGGGAGACCTGCCCATCATCTTGTCGGACCTTGTTTCCGACACAAGGAGGCTCTGACCCAGGGAGCCACTGTGTCC